CATGAGAAGACTTAGATCAAGCAGCTCTTTGGTAGTGGGCGCCTCGTAAATCATGAGACTAGGCACCGCCCCTTTGATTGCCTGGACCTGCGGCATCATATCGACTGTGGTCAAGAAGATGGTGCAGTTTGTCTTCTCCACGAGTGACTTCTGACCGTCGAGCGAGTTTCGGGGCGATGTGAATAGCGGTACATATCCTGTCTTCAGACATGCTGCTAGCACCACAAGATACCGTAGATCGTTCGCGCTATGCAATGCGTAAGTAAGCAATATCGATGACCAACAAGCAGATAAGATTGCCCACTCACCCCATGTAGCCGATTGTCTGGCCCACCTTTTCGGCAACACCGCAGGTTCGCTCAATCCATCGCGACATGTTGTTCACTGCACGCGCAAGATCGGCGAATGTGACGTGGTGCCATCCTTCGTCCAGGCTGCTGCTTGAACGCGGGACTATAGCCCATGTTGAGTTAGGAACAGCCTGAGCTGCAGAGTCGATGTAATCGGCAACGGTATTTTGCTGTCCTCCTGTATGCTGCTTTTGATGTGTTGTTGCCATGGCTAAGATTATATATCGATGCCGAATGTGGATGGTACGATGTTTTAAGCGTTGGTTCCAGGACGGGGTTCGACAGGCAGCGAACGGTGAGATAGCGTGTATCGATGGGTGATATACGTGAGGGTTGATTCGGATAACTTTGAGTGATAATAAGATCGGCCTTTGGTTCCAAGTGAGATTGATGTCTTCTTTTCTGAGGGACTACGAGCTAGATATACTTCGGCGGACGCTAGCGGGTAAGATCGAAAGCTTATGCCAGCGAAGAGCGCGGCCACGAAATGCGGTGATGTTTCACCGGAAGGATGTCCTGTCGCCATGCCGAACGTTGTCCGAACAATCGCAGTGGAGCATGAGGCATGAAAGTTGCGCAACATACAGCAGGGGGGCGGCTCGTTAGAATCATCCATGAAGAGTCTGTTCCGTTATATGGACGGAGGCCGATTCGATCTAGTCGCTGCAAGTGATTAATATCTTCTGTAAGATGCTACGCGTCATCACGAAGGGTTAAGATTAGTTGTAGTGCGCGAAGTTGTTGTGTATGGATGACGCAGTCATGGAGATCCCTGTGCCCATCACCTCGGCCGAGCGAGCGTTATGATTATTGAGCGTGCCATGAAGGTCGGATGCTGGCGGCTACCACTCAGGGCATGTATTACACTCCCAGGACAAGCAAGATACTTGTACGAACGGTTGTGAGACATTTACTGTCTTCGTACATCGAACTTTAGACTCGGCGCATTCAAGCATAAGCATCAAGAAGGAACGGCCCGATGAGCGCCACGAAGCTTGACTAAGCGCTATGATGGCGCAACCCCACCTGTGTTAGATCCGAGCGACACATGCGCGCTATCGGATATGTCCCTACATCCTCGTCGACCCACCTATGCGCTTCAGTAAGCCCAGCCAGGGCTCATCCGCTTAGGATATTGATATTCCATTGCATCACGCTTTGCGCAAGAAACTGCCGAAACTGCTTTCCACAGAAAGATCGTATTACGGATGGTATCAAGTAGTCGGGTATCAAATAGAGCATCGAACGCCGTCTTATGCATCACCTCATCCAGCGGCAGGTGCAACCCTTGGTGTTTCCTTTTCCTTCTCTCGCCTCTGCGAACCCTTCCTACGTCTTCGCTCCGGCTTGTAGACATCGTTGAAGTTAATGTTGACAGCCAGCATCTTCAGTTCACCGTCAGGCGAATGTACCAAGTCTCCGAGCAAGATGCTGATTCTTGCTCGGAAATCTTCCGTCAACTGACTCAAACGCTTTTGGAGCGCTGGTAGAACATCATCTTCGGCCGAACCAGTCATGCCGATCTTGAGGAGCGGGGGTGGGAAAGGCGATTCGTCCTGGCGAGAAGCCGCGCGGGAGTGTGAGGGAGCGAAGGGATCTGAAGATGAGCGGTCTTTCTCAGAGAGACCCCACCGACCTGCTGCTGTACGTGTCTCGATCTTGGCCGCGTGCTCCTGCCGGCGCGTGAACTCAGCGACTGAGAATGAGTACAAGCCATCCACCGCATCCTTGTATGCCAGCATCGTCTTCAGCAACTCATGGAGCTGCCCTGTAAAGTCGATACTAGAGCTTCCGAGAAGACCTTTGCGCGTGATGTTGTTGAGGTATATCGCATGCGCTTCAATCATGTCATCCAGCGTGCTCTCCGGCTTGTTGAGCGCTCTCTGTAGATCGATCCATGATGACTCTATGACTTCGAAGAGGATGTAGTGTTGCAACTGGTTGACAAAATGAACCATCTCAGCCATTGCGCAGCGTGCTTTCTTCCAATCCGCGCCGAGTTTATCGGCTACGGTGCCGAGAACACCACGCGCACCAGTCATGCATCTGCGCCATGTTGAGCCGAGAGCGAACTCGACGCGCTTGACGCGCCATAGGAAGTTGAAAACTTTGAGGTATTGCTTGGAACCGAATGGAGTGACAATGACATCGACGGGCGCATCAATCTTATATTCAAGCGTAAAGACATCCCATCCGATCTCACCATGCGATAGCTCCAGCATGCGTGAGTCGAGTCGGCGCAGTACATCTGAGGTGTCAAATTGGGCGTTTGAGTTGCGAACGGCATGTTCGAGTTGGGCAGTGAGGGTGTGGCGGTATTGCGTGTTGGCTGGTCGATCGAGGTTGGAGGAGAGTGATTCCATCAGGACGGCAATGAAGTCGCCAGCGCCTAGCAACATGTACTGCTTGAGGGCCTGCAGATGGTCGAACAACTTGAACTTGTTGCCCATCAGGTCGATGAGACGAGCCATGGTGGTCTTGTATGCATCTCCGATGGAGCGCTCGAGATTTGCAGTGTCGCCGTACTGCAGCTCCTTTGAGGCTTCCTTGGAGTATGTGTCGACCCATGCTGCGTCTCCACAGCCATAGCGAATGAAGTTCAGGGTTTTGCCGATGAGGAAGACCTTCTTGGCAAAGTCGTCGGTAACGATGGTCGGGACCATCTTGTCATTCAGTCTGTATTTGTCTTCCCAGACACTCGTCGCGCCACCTTTGCCCTCGTTGCCGTTCGCCTCGAGGATGTCATCCTCACTCTGTTCTGAGACAAAGAACTCGCCAAAGGGATCTGCGAGCTCGCCGTCGTAGACCCATTGCCGGAGCATGTCGTAGAAGGGTCGCGTGACATCGGAGAGAAGGCGCTCGGCAAAGTTCATGACGTACGGGTCGCCGTGGTTGAGGGAGAAGGAATGTATGAGGGCAATCAGCTCGCCGCCCTTCTTGCTCTTCGATTCTTCGACCATCAGGCTCATCAAGCGCAAGCCCATGGTCGGTTCTCTTATCCAGATGACGCATCGCTTGAGGGTGACGCCGGCCTTGCTAACGCCCTGAGGTGTTGATGCCTCGTTCAGCTGTGCCAGCGCTCTCTTGATTTGTCCTTCCAAGGTCGCGACCAGGCCCAGGTATGCTCTCAGCTCCTTGGCTAGAGCTGCGCGGAAGCTTTGCTCGATCAGGCCGCCATCGCTCGCCTCGACGAATTCGGCCAAGCCTTTGTACAGTATGGCGGGTTCAGCGAGGGTGTGTAGGAGGCTAACAATAGGTACCGGGAGGGTGGTGGGAAGCTTGAGGGCGGTCGACGAGGGGAATGCGAGGTTCGTCGATGAATAGCCCTGTAACGTGAAAGGCAACTCCCGCAGCAAAGTTGGCTCCGAGGGCCCCGTCTCTGCCTTTTCCACATGTCCACCATTGGCTTGCTGCTGCTCCTTGGCGGTGTCAGGCCGTCTGCGCTTCTCCGGCTTCTCAGCTATCGAAGCTGGACGTGTAGATGTCGGTGCTTTGGGCGATCCGGCATTGACAGGCAGCTGGGCGAGGCCGGGCTTTGCAAAGGCGTCTTGGATGGCGTGCGACGAGGCTGCTACACTCTGGCGCTTGGAAGGCGTCGTGGGTTCGCGCGAGAAGCTGCGGGTATTCTGGGCGGGCGGCGGCTCATGCGGTGCTTCGGCGTTGTCGGAGAGGTTGTAGAGAAAGTAGAGCATGCGCCATTTCTGGTCCAGGACGCTCTGGGTCTCAAGGCGCGAGAGAAGGTTATGCAGACGCGCGCTCTTGCGCTGGTCATTGTTGGGGCCCGAGACTGTCACATGTTAGCGAAAGACACGTGAATCACCTCGCTGCACTTACCTTTGCGGTCTATGAGGCTGGCGATGTGCTGGACGTCGGGAACGAGTGAAGCATCGCCCGCAGTCGTGAGCTCGTCGAGCGCGAACTCGTAGGCATCTTCGAAGCGCTGGTTGGCCTCGTCCTCGTTCTCATTAGGGTCTTCGGGCACGATGCGGACCAGCAGCTCGTTCAACGCGTGTTCGACGCGCTCGCGATGTAGAGTGGCCATGATGGCGCGCTGAACAGTCGCGAGTCCATTGGTGTTGACCTCGGCGGGGTTGACGCCCGCCCGTGCGCGTTGCCCAACCTCGAGCCAACGCGTCACTCTTCACTCGTCACTTCCAAAGCTTCCCACAACGCGTGTCGTATCCTCCACGAACGGCCATCTTGATCTCTACTTACTTGCTAAAAAGTAATAGCGTTCATGCAGCAATTGCATAATGCGACATTATTTCAAGCCAGACTTGGTGTCACCCGTCACCTGTTGTTTGCACATTGAACGCATCAGCGTTTGCAATCAGGTAGAGGGGTATCGGTGCCGTTATGGATATCCCGTTTAATATCTGGTGCGAGATGGCTACGAGCATTTCTCCTACACACTATCTCCATCATCCGCACACCAAAGTAGAACTTCTATGACCAGCCCGGACCAAGACCAGGACCCGGCCCCAGTCTGAGTCAAAGACGCACTCTTCTCAGTCGACCACGATCATCTTCAACCTGATTCATTTGGCTGCGCACCTTGCCAAACGTCCTCGCACCACTGCACTTCTGAGCACACAGAATAGGTACCCGACGTGAGTTCGCCTTGAGAAACGACGCTCGCCAGCCGCCGATATGGGCACCATAGAGAAGGACAACGTTCAATCCTCAAGACGGCCCAAGCTCCTCACCTACCAGGAGATCCAAGAGTGGTCACGCGATAACGAGTTCATCTATACCGGCTATCGTCCAGAAAAGCCCGACTACAAGGCCATCTTCCTCAGCCTTACGTACCTACACAACGAGACCTGCAACATATACACCCATTTGATTGGCGCGATACTGGTATGGCCTGTCGCATACATTTACATGCGGATTCTGGCCGAGCCCTAGTACTACGGCGTTCTACCGGCGGACTATGTCATGTTCACTATCTCCTTCTTCTCTTGCGAGTTCTGTCTGCTCTCCAGCGCTGTCTACTATCTGATGCAACCCCACTCGCATAAAGTGGAACAGTTGTGGCATGTGATGGATCTGACTGGGATTGCTGTTATCATCGCTGGCACATTCGTTGCGGCGATTTACTACTTCTTCATCTGCCAACCCACCTACTAGATCTTGCACTGGGTCATTGTGAGTCACCTCGAGCGAATGGTCCCGCGATATGCTGATATTTCTTTCAGACCATCGTCTCGGGCTCGGCCTGCGTTGCTCTGATCTCAATACCGAAGTTCAGAACCCTGCGCTGGCGCACTCTGAGAGTGGTCGCCTTCTTCCTCTTCGGGCTGTCAGCCTTCGTTCCCCTGCTGCATGGCGTCGGACTGCACGGTTCTAAGTACATGTTCGATTACATGGGAATGAAGTGGTACCTGATTGAGCTTTCGTTGTACGCAACCGGTACCCTTATCTTCGCAGTAAGCAGGATCATTGACTCCCAGACTTGGAGAGACATGTGGACTGATAAACAAATGCAGACCCGGCCTCCTGAACGGTTCGCTCCGGGCAAGTTCGACTTCTTTGGTAGCTCACATCAGATCTTCCACCTTCTCATCTTGGCGGCGATGTGGGTCAACTGTCTGGCTCTTACACAGAGTTTTCGATCAGTTCATAGGTTGGATCTATGCCACCGCTAGTCTACTCCTGCAATACGGAGATTTCCTTGCTTTGTGTTTTGCGGAAGGATGGGAACTCAACGATAAGACGGAGTACATGGAGGTCGACTGAGAAAGCGAGCCAGGCAATAGCCTTGCCACTATCATTAGAAACTCTTGCTTAGACGAAAGTGACTTCTTTTGCTCGCCAGCCAAGATCGATGCAAAAGAATGGAGCGATTTTACGCATAGAGACGCAACTATACTCACAGTCTGCGATGGACGAAACGCATTGCATAGGCGCAATGCAAGTTTTACAAAGATGCGGTGGGCCCGTAAGATACTGGAGAGAGATCATCCACCCACACTCGCTGGACACCTTCCTCACCGCTAAGTAGACCAGCAAGTATTCTGTCTGCCTGACAACTAGCGGTGCGCAGATTTCTGCAGCATAGAGCCGTTCTATTCGATGATTGGTTGATGGGTTGCACAAGACAATAGCCCCTCGCATGGCTGAGATTCTTTTGGCAGCAGCAGCCTTTTCGGGCGGTAGATGACTGTGAGCCCCCCTCAACATCTCGCATTTGGCCCCCAAAGTTTCGCACAATGCTTACTCTTATCCCCGCGTTCCTCCCAGACGAACAAACGTGGTTTGAGAAATTAACTCAAAGTCTTCGCGCAAACCGCGACATACAAGAAGTGATCATATCTCAGATCCATTCAGGAAGATTGGAGGAAATTGGGAGCCTTCATACTCGGTGATCGAGGTTAGTTCGGGTTAGAACATGCGCAATAGTAATGTTGGCTTACGCTTTCTAGCCCGAAGATAAATCTCTGATATTTCCACGGGAGTCGACGATTGTCTACACTGAATCGAGCTTTTGACGACGTAAGAATGCCTCCGCGTAAGCGCCAGTCTGGGTTAATGTTCCAAGGCTCTGTTCAAGAGTCTGTGGACATCAACCCACAAGAAGAGGCTGGTCCTGTCGCTGGAGAGAAGTCAGCTCCAGGCCGTAGAAACCGCGCTAGAGACGTAGTCGACGCTGGTAAAGACTATGTCGCACGAGGCGTGCAAAAGCTTGTACAGAGTAAAAAGGATTTTTGCGCGGCGTGTAAGCGCATTCCTTTTGACGAGTGCTTGCCTGATTCATCAAAGGGCAACAACGAATCGAAGCAAGACGCCTTCGTCATATATCTGAACTTGGAGACGATACTGGATAATAGCGGAATCTGCAGACTATGTAGTCTGTTGGAGAAGAGTATATGTCAAGAAGATCACGACCTGCTGAAGGCTGAACACATCCGGAAGCACTTGCCCGAGACATTCGACGAGCACACGAGCATGTCCGAATGGATCCCAAAGTACAAAGACGACGATTCATGGCCATTCGGCTTTACTTCAGACCGCTCGGGTGCTTCTGACCATGCAGTGGATGAAGCCAAGAGGCTATTCTCGGAGGCCGAAGATCGTGATACGAAGATGAACAATGTCAGCGATATGTATCAATCGATAACGGAAGATGCAGCACTGGCAGTAGAAGCGGCGCAGCTAGCTCTGGACATGGTTCCACTCTCGAGGATAGAGGACAAGGACGCACGAGAGGTGTTTACGGCACTGCGGTTCATTACTCGTCAGGTCGCCAACATCCAGAACATGACACGTGCGCGATTACCCTGTATCTTCATGTTGAGAATGTATCGCAGCAATGAGAAGAAAGCCGGTGCTTTGAGCGTTCGTGTTTATGCTCACGGAGGGGCTGCATTGGCCCCGTTGCAAGAGATTACCCACGTCAGTCTGCGGTTCGAGAATACTGAGGAGCCACGACAATTCGAAAAACAACTCTGGTATGGAAACAGGTTAGAAAAACGTATCGACATTCCCTTCTTCAAGCATTGCATCGAAGAGTGCAGACAGGAACACAGTGGTAAAGATGGATGCGCTAGTCCATTGAGCAGCGCTGTCAAACCCGACGACAAGACCATCTTTCGCCTTATAAACGTGAATACGATGAGCGTAAAGAAACTGATGTACCTTGAAGTCATGAAAGGCTCCAAATATCCCTATGCAGCACTCAGTTATCTGTGGGGAAAGCCGCTATCGCTTGAGGGCTGGACACTTGTTTCAGATCGGGAATCGGTAGGAAAGAAAAAATGGAAAAGGAGAAAGCAGGACGGTAGTTGGGCCTTCCGAGATGAGTGTCTTGACAGGACAAAGCTCAGGAGAGGGCACGAGTCGAACATTTTGTACAGGGACGGGGGTCTTAAGGACATGATGTCTAGCATACCAAAGACCATTCGGGATGCGATCGACGTTACGAAGAATGTAGGTTTGGACTACATATGGGTCGATCAGCTGTGCATAATCCAAGATGAAGGAGACCCAGACAAAAAGCTCAACATTGAACGCATGGATACGATATACAGCCACGCGCAGTTTACGATCGTTGCAGCTGATGGCAAAAATGCTGATTCTGGCTTGAGAGGAGTAGGATGCGACCGGGGTGAGCTCGAGCAGATCAGCGAGGAAATCGTCCCTGGAGCGAATATGTCACTACCCGTCAACATCAAATGGGATATCCGATTGTGGGAGTCAAGAGCATGGACTTTTCAGGAGAAAGTCTTATCCAAGAGACTCCTCGTCTTCACTGGTGGCTGCGCAATTTGGTATTGCAGAGGCGGTATCTGGAGAGAGGATGTAAATGCTCTGGATGGCGATATCTCCGCCGTCAGGTTCCCTTGGCCTCGTATGGCTGCTTCAACGCCTTCCAAAGACAAACTAGAAGGGGCAGGTCTGAGTTCGAGGGCAGATGGTGGCATATGTATGCATAGACGGTCCGTCATGTATGATTACGTTGCAGCAGTCGAAGACCTTAGTTCAAGAGATATTACCAATGCTGGGGACATCCTGGGTGCTTTTAGAGGTGTTTCTAAGGTTTTGGGAACCCAAGAGCATCTAGGGAGACACTTTTGGCAAGGACTTCCAGTCCACTTCATGGACGTTGCATTACTCTGGCAAACTAGTCGACCGGCCCATCGAAGAGACAAGGCCGATGAGGACGACCGAATCCCACCTAGCTGGTCTCCGTTTGGCTGGGCAGCAGACTCCGACACCGTGAGTAGCGCCCCCGCGCGTACTCTCATCGAATACACGAAGCCGTACGAAGTATGGTCAGATGGCAAGGGCATACTTCTGCGTCGCGATCCGGACGGAACGGATAAGGAGACACGTAAGATGACACGATGTTCGGGAAGAGTTACGGCTGAGGAGCGTATTCGCCCCATAAAACACACTCTTTGGAAACATAACGTCAATGGCACCTCTCTCGAGCCCGTGGGCTTGTTCGGTCGAAAGGAATTCATGGATGGATTTGATCCACCTGACTGGGAGTCTTCAAACTCAAAAACAGAACAGCCTCGACCCCTACCTGCGCAAATCTTTGGTGACCGGACGCTGGTGATCTTCGCTCAAACTGCAATGCTCATCCTCCATCAGCAAACTTGGAGGACAATAAGAACTTCCTACGTCAAAAGCCACGACGTATCCAGAGTCACCTTTGAGAACACCGATATCAAGTCCGATACACTGGGAGAAACCATCACAACACGCCAGGAGTATTGGCTCCGCGCCCAGAAGTCGGAAGGTGGTGGCAACTCCGAAAAAGGTCTAGCGAATGTGGAAGGCGGTATTGAAGATGTGAAAATAGGCGTGGGCAGGATTGACGAGGCCGATTTCGGTGCGATCAACACGAGCGTCAAAGCTGTAGTTCTCTCAGAAGCGCAGTACCTTGGAAACGAAGACGTACCAGATGTACTCGGGTATCCGTTGTACACTGTGATGCTTGTGCGCCAGAGCGAGAAGCACGCTAGAGTGTATGAGCGTGTTGGATTAGGTCACGTTCACAAGAGCAAGTGGAAGAAGCTTTCACCAAGAAAGGAGACAGTGTGTCTGATCTGACTTGTCTGCACTTACATATCTACTTTGCTTATCTGTTAGTGGTAGTAGCGTTCACCCTTGTACAATTGTTTCGGGTTGTAAGAGATTTGGGATGTTCTAACTGCTCAAAAAAGACTTCTACGCCTTTTGTAGCATCTAGTCTCTGCGCGTTGCTTTCTCTTAGCGGACGCAGGCACGTAAAAAAAGGTGTCGGAAGGGGTTTGTTCGATAGGCCCCACCAGTTTGGCACACCGCCGACCCGAGGCAAAAAGAAGATTTTTCCAAAAACATACAACAGTGGGGATTCCCTAGTGGTCACCCACCTAGGTACTAATCCACCGGTACAATGCTTGTATATGGCTGAGCGGACGGGAAGCCTAATTCTCATTGTCCTATGGTCGTATGTGGAAGATTGTGCGACAGAATCAAATATATACCAAGCGCGCCGGTCGGGAAGAGAACAGCCAGACTAGCCACACCATCAAGACCTATGCATCCTTTAGCATACTAGCAACGCCAGTTCAAGTCTCCGATACAGTTCCTGATCCAACACGTTATCTGATGGCTCGCTATAGCTCTACAGGAGAGCGACGTAGAGGGAAAGCAAGGAGACGATTGAATATCGAAGCGTCCTGACTGACCGGGTGATAGAGGAGGCAAATAGTCTTCTCAATGTCTTCGTAGTGTCTATCGCTGAGTCAAGACTTAGATTCGTGGTCTGCTTTCGCAAAAGTGTCGCCTTCCGTCCGGGTATGTCTAGAGTGGCAGTGGCGTTCATTGGGCACCAGACCGTGTGCGGCATTGCTGCTTTGAGTGTTCTCACTATTATGTTGGATAGTTGTCAATTAAGACATGCTAGCGAGGCGCCGGTAATGCAAGTTTGAATGTCGTCGTTGAAGCTGTGACTACGTATAGTCGTATATATGGGTGATTTGGAAGCCGACTTGCGAGCGTGGCTGAGGCCAAGAGTCTGGAGTACTTTCACTCTTTTGCGGTGGGCGCACTTGCTTCTACGCTAGTGTAAGCTTTTCTTTCGTACAGACATTGACACTCTAACTCTCGTACTCCACTCCAACGACTCTTATTCTTTGCGCCTACACCAATCCACCTCTTGCAGTCGCAACAATCGCAATACCGATGATGTCGGGCAGCCCCAATGCGACATCGACCACCCTTCATTTGTGGACTCTCGATCCTGTCATCCGCGAGCTTCAGTCATGTCCAGCTGCTCGTGCAGCAGAGTTCGCAGATCTCATAATCCCTGGCCGTATCAGTCTCCTCAGTGTTGAGAATGGCAACGCTGTCCAGAGTTCTGCTACTGTTTATGGTGCCTCCAAAATCACTGACATTCCGGAATTGACACTGTACGAAACAGGCGCTGGTTGGCCACACCCGCGGTCACTGAGAAAGATCCTGGAGAAGCACCAGTCTTGGGTCGACGAAGCGCAATTATATCCGCCTAGACCCGCTCCTCTTTCTCTCCGTTTCTTAGAGGTGACGCGAGTCGGGAGAGTATAGCTCGAACGCTTGTGGAATACCTAGACGATCAACACTATGCCGCATACGCGACGACGCTCACATTCCGATCGCCTGTAATAGACCGTTGTCTCAGACTTTTCCAGGGCGAGAATGAGACTTCGAGTACGCTCACCCGGTCATCCACCGACACCACCTCGATCATGTCCTGTGGTGCGCTTCTTCCCTTGGAGGCGTCAGCCCTGATGAGCACCAGTACCATACATGTCATTACCGGTGTGCGCGTGTACATCGTGTATCCGCCTACGCCACATAATTTGACGACGCTGAACAAGTATCTCGTAGATCTTGCCGGAGATATCGCGCCAAGCTACACAAATGTATGCCATGAGTTGGAAAACGGTATCGCCTTTGTCCAGCGTGCAGGCCAGGCTGTCAATATACCACCATGTTGTCCAACGGTGGTGTTCGCAACCAAGACCAGTGCCGCTATTACTGTCCGTTCTCGGTGCGTGGAAGACTTGCCATTGCGACTAGAGCATCTCGCTATCCTGATGGCTCAGATCGTGTCAATACAGCTCATATGTCGGCAAACACCAGAGGAATCATTGGAATACCACACCACACAGCTGTACAAGGACATGACGACCGTTCTTAGAGCGCTGGAGCCGAGTGCTGCCAACCGTTCGTTGCTCTTAGCCTTAGGCGCTGCGTGGGAAAGGGAATACTCTCGTTTCCGTGGTCTCGTGGAACTACATGTCGAAAAGGCGCTGAGAGAGCATATTCGCCGGAATATCCCAAGAGTGTGGAGCCTAGCTGTTCAGAACCAAGGCCTCAGGCATTGCCCTGTTTGCAAGGTGAGCATTCAAGGTCATGGTGTGGTATTCCTCACCCACTTCCAGACAGAGCACTGGGATGTGGGCGGATCCACTCACCCAGACAAGGCCGAGTCGATGTCTATAGTAGATGAGGGTCCACCACAGCTCACTGGAGATGGCGACATGTTAGACGACGGCGACCACGCTGGCTCTCGCCTAACTGCCGGGTGAGGTGATTCAATCTACACAATCCGGTTTCGATGTTGATGAAGTCTATATTGCATATGGACTTGTGTTATCAACTGAGAGCACGATGCCGCTGTTTGGGGAAATGGACTGGATCGCGGCCCAGGTTGCTCTGGAGACATTGGAGGCAACGATGCAGATCGCTGCACGGATGGCGAGAAGGGTTATAAATTTGCGCAAGATGACTCGTCCGTCGTAAAGACCTCAAAGTATGTGGCTTCACGTTGTTTGACGAAGTTCAGTTGCTGAGATCGGATGTGAAGGCGGATTGATCGGAAGCGGAAGACTTCCGCATTAGCCCGGACTTGGTTAGCGCTAGCGAATGACGTATACAAGCAACCTGGAACCACTGAAATCATCTACCACCTGACTTGAACGGATTTCCCAAACTTCTTTTGCCCTCCTCGTTTGATAATTGTACGGAAGTTAGTGTAATGAAATGATTGAAGATTAGGTTTGTGAATGGCTATTATGTACGAAAGGAAAGACTTTTCATAGTACACTCAACCGCCAGATATTCACAAGTCTGACCCGATCCAAACTTCACCCCGATTCTATCTCCAAGCCGTAACCTCCCGTTCAGTGACCTAAATATTCCACACAGGCACAGGTTCCATCAACCTTCTCCGGTCATAACTTTCAGTCGTCTCATCAAGGCCGGACGGCTAGTGGGGATGTCATGTTCGAAAGCATGAGCGCTGCTCGCAAGTCTTTAGCGATACATTCCGTGCGAGCACCCCCGTGGCCCAGAGAACGAGACCGGCGTTTCGTATAAGTATGGCGAAGAGAGGGTCGGAAGACGCGATGATCGCCGGTTTGGTAATTTTGTTGATCGTGAAGCTGCTGACAAAGTGCTGGAAGATGATGATGACGAAGATGCCGAGCGCGTTGAGTCCAACGAAGAGCGTGGAGAGACGTCTGTCGATTGGAAAGGTGTTGTGTTGGACAGATCAGACAGTTCAAGACCATCTTCTGGAAGCTGTCGACGCCGACTGGATCGCGATTCGTCCCTGCGGAAAATTTGGGGTATTTGTAAAAGCTCTGAGAATTGGAACATGATTGATGATGCTTTACTACGATTGCGGACGACAAGCCGCCTTTTCAAGAGCAGGAATCAGGTCGTAGGACAGCGATATCAAGGAAACGTCTTCATATCACAGGTTAACGCTAGAGAAAAGACAGTCAACGAAAGCGGTAACATCTCCAGCTCTAGTCATTGAAATTCTCTCCAAAATTTTGCTAAACTTCTGTTCCTGCCAGTCCTTGTACACGCAACGACGGTGTTTTGCGCTGGATATCCCGCTTCCGTTGGACGTGTGACGTTGTGTCATGTAGCAAGCCGGCGGCAGCTACGTAGGCTATTCGGCTCATGTTGCACGACAGAGGGCTTTCCTGGGGAAATGGCATTTGCGCCAAACAAATTGCCTCTTACGACTTCTGACTAGCAAGACTGACACGGGCTGGACATACTACAATTACGCCACCAAGGGTCGTTGGGAAGATCGGGAAAAGCTCTAGTTTGGGGAAGCTTCTAAGGGGTAGGAGAAGCTCGCGACGCGTTAAACAACCTAAAGCGACGAGAATCACGGAAGTTTGGTCAGTGTCATATTCCGTTCATGGCATCGGCATACCGCATCTCATTGTAGGCATGAAGCCGCCTCCCACGTGGAAGAAGTCACGGGTAGAGACCGCGGCTGCTTGTCACTATCCCCAGCGGGCCGATCAAGATTGCTCAAATCGATCGGAAGAGTGCATATGAAGCGGAGGATCTACCCCAAAAGAAGCTGTTGGACGCATCTCTCGATCCCGACGGTATGTTCCAATCGAGCAATATCGATGATTGTCGCAATCATGATCGATCGAGCAGCCAAATTTACGATCGATGCTATGTCGGTGTTTTCACGAGACTGCGATAGCCGTCCACTGGACGATGAATCAACGTACGCTATAAAAGTCGCCATGCCCTCAACGATTTAGGCCACAGTAGCAAAGCTTGGACATGAATTGAGTTGTACGAACCGTGTGTGGGGTTCGCGGCGCTATGAACCTTCTTTGCAGAGATGATTGGCACATTCGTGTTCCCAAAAAGTATCGAAAGAAACGCCACTGTTGCTAGTCTCAGCATCGTATACCCCTAGATCAAGAAACGTCGTTAAATATCGTGGAGATATGACGTGATGCCGATGGGCAAGTACTAGTGATGGGAAGCTCCGCAGTAGTATGGTACAGTTTCATAACCACGTCCAGTGATCGGCAAGCCCTCCTCTGAAGCTACATCATAATGCAACCCGCACACCACACCCGCGGCAGCCGCTACGATTCTCGAGTCCCCCCTTCCCCGCTGAACGCACCCGTCACTAAACCAGGTCATCGGGAAATGACTCGCTCAAACCGTCGCACGAAAGCATTGCTTCGCCACTGAAGACTCTGCATCGGTGATGTGGAGACATCGACCATCTCGGGCGGCTGCTGGATCGAAGACCCTTCCCCATACGAATCAATACGCGGTGTCACCTTTACATTGCCGACGTGACACTATACACAAATTGGACTGTCCATGGTATGAGCGTGGAGACTCAGAACACAGTCCCCTAACTAAGCGTACCCAGAGTCCACTCACCTCCATCCACAAGGACAAAGAATGACGTAGAACATACTGAACCCCTTCACTAAGACGAGCCGATTGGTCACATGTGCAACCATCGATTGGACAGAAAATCGAGAAGAATGATATGCTAATAATACTCACCATCTCCTCGATGGAATATGCGGAGAAAGCAAGAAATCAAACGCAGAAAGCAATCGCTAATATGTATGAGGGATCTACGATCCGTAGATACCTCCAGACTGTACTTTTCCCCATCGCTTTCACTGCGTTACCTTCCTGCTTCCTGGAAGTTTGCATCGGCTTCGGATTTTGTCGACTTCGCGGCAGCGCACGGAGGTCGTCCTCAAACGTGGTTTTCGTTCTGCTCTTTGACGTGAATGGGCTTCTTATCCTCATCCACTTCCATGCTCTCCGGAGTGGATGCACTGGAGAGTTCTTGGCTCTCGGACTTGATGCTGTCTTGCCCGTCCATCTCGGTCTTGACAAGCGGTCGCAAGCTGATCATTGATTCTATGATTTGCAGTGCGGTCCTGTGATTGATTTGGCCCTTGACGTGCTGCCATAGTTCTGTATCAAGATATCCGGCAAGGGCGTCAATGATAAGACTCTTGAGCTCCTTGGGGGCAGTCCCGTCCTTCATGGCGTGTTGGAAAGCGACCTTCACAATGTCGTCAGCAGCGGGTTCCGTGCCATATCCTATGAGCGTTTGGAAAGAGGTGCCGTCGGCATCGGCGCGCTCGATGCTGGCGTTGGTGGCGTTGAACAGCGCGTAAGAGCATCTGGTGGCGAGCGCATCAACACCGAGCTTTTCGGCGAGTTTCATGACGGCGTAGGTCTGTTCCGACCCTTCGAACGGCTGTGGACCTTGGTAGATCCACTGCATGAGCGCTCGAACTGTTGACTCGTCGACACCCGGAAGTATGATGCGGTGCTGAGCGGTAGCCTTCAAGATGTCCTCCTCAGCCTTGCGAATCTCGGCCTTGTTGATGCGATGGACGTAGGTAAAGAGCTTCGCGGCTACAGTGTGTACGGCGTGGGGCTTGAGGAGATCCAGACGGCCTGCCAAACTCAAATCGGCTGCAGGATTTTGTGCCGTTTTCCTGTTGTTCTTGGCGATCATCTCGGCTGCTACTGCTTCCATGATGGTCTTCTTGACAAGACTGGCATATCCGATCAGAGGGTAGTTCTCGGATGCTGTCTTGATCAATGGTATAGCCTGTGAAGTGTTAGCAGTAGAACACCAAAAGCGTACCTCATGCAAGGAAGAGTCAGAACAGGCCTACAGCCTACTAGAGCAACCCTAGGCGAATGCGAAGACGTATATTGATGCAGGCTCGATTATGTTCAGCTTTTCCCTTGGATGAGGTGGATGGACCACTAATGCTCGACCATTTACAGCCGGTGCATACTGACGAGACATACTTGTCTATCCAACTTTCTATCTTCAAACTCCTTCGGGTCGACTTCAGGGAATACGTATCTGGCCAAGTCGTTTCGGAACTCGTCAGCCCTTTTGTAGTGAGCCATAAGCGTCTTCGCCTTTTCGAATCTATTGCTGAGTTGCTTGCTGTTGCAGCAGATGATCTCTTGATGAAAGATGAGCTTAGTCGCGAGGTCCGGTCCGCATTCGATGGTAATGGGCGTTTGCATCAGCATCCTGCACCGAATACATTAGTATGGCAATGTATAAAGCGTCGAGTATATCTTACTGCGACGGGGTAACGTCAACGAGATCTGGAACATGCGTAATCTCAATGAAGTCGTCGCTGTTATCCATCCTGGGTGGATGCATGGAGACAGTCGAGCTTTCGGCACTTGTGGTGGGATCGATCGAGGCGCGCGACGGTGTCGCTGGAGGCGTCGTAGCCTTGGAATGATCCATCGGGAGGAGTAGTACTTCCAGCTGGTGGTAGTCTGCGTGCGAGAGAAGGAGAGTTGAGAAGGTAGGAGAGTTGGAGGGAGAAGAGAGACCTGGCAGTGTTTTATATGCTGGGCGCAGGTATTCGTGGTCACCGTCTCTCACCTCAAAGTAAAAGAGCCTACGCAAAGGGTCCACCCGAAGCGGGCCTGAGATAGCAGTTACTTCGATATCACCAGGGTCGGCAATCTACCAACAAGATAGAAGTGTAGAAGTGGGCGGTGTCACTGACTGCTGCGTTCATGATGAAAACAGTCAAGATGGGTAATGTTCAATTCTAAAAGTGGTAGCCTGCCGCAGCAGTGTCGTGACATGGTATCGATGTATACTCCAAATCACCACCAACTCCTTCCCATGCTGTGATCAATCATGCCTAGCCGTTCGAGGATTATACTATATCTTCCTTCGTTTGCTCGCGGTGGGCAGGTCCTCGTCTTCAACCGATGGTGTACCCTCATTTCCCGCGCGACCACTATCTCTCTCCACATCTCTCCAGGTACTGACTAGGCCTTGAACCGTTTGGAACATGTCTCTCGCATCGTTCACCACGCCGTCTTCTCCTGGGTTGAACATGACGGCATTGACGAACATGCGCATGAGCTCCTTCTCCAGTTGCGCAGCGTTAACTATGGCCTTTGGCGGGACATTGTCAGCCGTCACAGGCAACTCTACGACGCCGCCCATGACACCGCCGGGGCTTCCTGTGGGATTGTCCGACGCGGCTGCGGCTGCGGCAACTTGCTTTGAGCCTGTTGCTATAGCCTTCTTGATGGAAGAGAGATCTGTAGGGCGCTTGATGATGTCGTAGTATCCTTCTGCATCCTTCGCGCGAACGGCCGTGTTGAATGTCGAGGCATGTTTGTGCGAGTTGATATCGTACATCATGGGTGCCGTCATCCGGGCGAAGTTCCGTGGCGCGACCAGGGTCTTGGGTGGGCCTGGGGTACTAAAGGACGCATCGTCATTCTCCTCAAGAGAGGCCTCACGGGCATTTCGTTTTCGACGTGATGAGAGTGATGAGGCCGGGGCTGCTCCACGGCGTCGAGTGGACATGTGTGATGGTGTTCCAACAGAACCTTCCTCTTCAGTGGGGTCCACCGAGTTTCCGCGCTCTGACTTGATGCGACGACCAGCTTGCGACTCATTGTCACCTGCTACGGTATCGGTATGCGAGAGGATGGACCGGCTTCGACTTCGATCCCGCACAGAGCCACCTGCTCGGGAGGAGGCTATGCTGCCGGGCCTTGTTCGTTTCGCAGGAGCTTTTCTCCGTGAACGTCCCGACCGAGTCTCGGGCTCTAGTAGAGAGTCGTCTTCTTGGTCGTGGTGCTGAGAGTTCTGTGGTGTCTCGACGTCTATCGTAGAGTCTTGCTCTGCCTCTTTGCCTTTGCCCTTTGTCCGTGATTTGCGCTGCGTCTTCGCCTTTGGTGGTGTCTGTTTTGGCCGTATCAGCGGCGGTACGTCGTCGAGAGGAAGCACTTCGGGGCGCGGGCTCGCAGAACTTCCAGGTGTCCCGGTAAAGCTTGATCGTTTCCAAAGACTCTTGGCTGACACCGGGGTCGCTAGAGCGCTGTGCGGAGAGCGCGGGTTCATCGGGGTGGAGAAAGACTGTCTCGCCTGGATGACGAGGGGATGCATCTGCGGCGCGCCTGATCTGCCGGTGCCGGTGCCGGGAGTCTGTATGTTTGCTCTGGGCTGCTGCCGATTGCTCGCAGGCGTGGAGACCTGAGGGTGGTGCGACGGCACGGCGGCTTGATGGTGGACGCGCGAGGGGTCTTGAGGCGCAACTTGGAACGGTGGAAGCATGAAGCCTGCCTGGGGCGGTGGTTGGGCCATTTGCGGTTGCAGTGGGTGGTAGGGCTGGTGACCAGGAGGGGGATAATGCGCCCTCTGTTGTTGTCCATGGTGAACTCCGGGTGAATGAGGCCCTGACGCTTGTTGCATGGGAAACTGCTGGTGTGGAGGGTACGGCGGTTGGGAGCCCGGTGGACCATATTGAGGCGCGCCATTCATCGCGTAGTTCTGGCCTGGCTGGGGCTGGAATTGAGGCGCGGGTGACCCCAGCGCTGGTGACTGTGGTTGCGGAGGATGGCCGGCATTCTGGTGCGAGCCTGGCTGGGGTTGTATGTTCTGGGGATAGTTGTAGTTGGCGTGGGGTTGCGGCGGTTGCTGGAATCGCGACGGCGCGTGCGGCTGACTTGGGTTTGGCTGCGGCGTAGAAGGCGTCCGTCGCCCGTCTGAAGAGGAATGTGGCTTCTTGCGCTGGGTTGGCGAAGGGTGTCCGTTCGGGTGTGGTAGCGCGGATGCCGGCTGTTGTTGAGATGGATCGGGGGAAGGCGCGATGACGGGCGCTCCACGTGCGCCATTCTGGACAGGCGTGGGGTTCGCATTCGGCTGCAGCGTCTTCGGCGCGAGATGCGGCGACTTCCTGGGCAGCGTAGGACTGCGCGATGACGGTGTCCGGCCGCTTGCCTTCTCGCGCAGCTGGTCGTCCCACTCTCCGCGCTCGATGCCCTGGAGGTCGCGCTGCAGCCGCTCGTAGCGCTCCTCCTCTATCCGGATCTGCTCCGTGATCTCATATCGATAAGACGCGTAGAGCTTCGTGACGAGCTTGGGGATCAGGTGCTGGTGCTGCAGCGACTCCTGCACCGTCGGCAGACTTGGGCTATGCCTCTTTCTCTTGGCCGGGTTCGTGACTTCCCCGTTCGGGCTATCACTGTCGCCGCCCTGCTCGTGCTCGAGCTCCCGCTTCAGACGCTCGAGGTAGAAGTTGCGCAGCGCATCGGGGCTGAGGCGGCCGGGCTGGAAGTACTTGTGGGCGGCCACGTCGGGGTGCTTCTTCAGCAGGTCGGAGATGCGGCCGAAGACAGACGGGGCGACGCCGTAGGCATGCAGGCACTGGAACAGCAGCAGCGACTCGAGGTTGGTGTAGGCGGAGCCGCTAGTATTCATCCCCCAGGCGTGTGCAGCGCGAGGGCGATGGGCCTGGGGCGGAAGGGGAGCCACGGCTGCGGGCGCGGGCGCGGTGGGCGGAGAGGCTGCTACGGCGGGCAGACGGGCATCGCATGCGAGAGTCGTGATGGGCGCGGCGGGCGGGGAAATTGAGCGAGATGGACGGGGGCTTGGTGGTGTCGAGGGAGATTGTCGCAATGTCGCAAATTGTCGTCGGGGTTTCGCAGCCCAGCCGCCTGAAGCCCCCATCGGGCGCCCCCGGCCACAGCCAATCAGGCGCGTCCGGCCTCACGTCGCCTCACGCGAGCGCGGGGCCAGAACCAGACCTGACAGCGGGCCCTGATGTACTGTGATACTTTGGGATAGCATAACTTTATAGCCCTATATGCCTCTACATCCTGCTGCACCTGCACCTACAGCTTCCTGTTGTTGTCGTTGTGCCCGTATCGTCGGCCATTCTTCGTCGGGCACTCGGGAGCGGCGCTCAAACTATCATTGATCCCTCCCTCCTCCAAGCTCCACCTCCGATCTACGCCCAAATTAGCTTGGGGCATAGGCGTCCCCTTTTCCTAACATTGCAATCGTCCTTCCCTCTCTATTCCAGGGTCGCCATATTATGCTCCCTCCCCTCCACCCCAGGTCTGGCTGAGTTGCATGAAACATCTTTGATCCGCTGAGCCACTTGCCCATATTTGTCCACTCTTGTACCAGCCCATAAATATATCCACCGTCCCCGAGCCTCCCCACGCCGCCTGCTTCTTGCATAACCCGCTGCTGCTCTCCATCCCATCACCATGACTTCCTCGTACCCTGCACACTCGGCCACCATGGACGACCCAGACCAAGGCTGGAAGCCAAACAACCGCCCTCAATCGTGAGCTCTCCCGGCGCTAGCATAGCTCCCGCCTGTCTGAGACTGACCACGCGTGCAGCACCCTAGCCCGCAACTTCATGTCGGAGCTCGACAGCCTGTTCAACTTGGACGAAGGCCTCGCGACCCTGGACAAGACGGTCCTGGAGAAGTACGGCCCGCCCTCTTCACCGCTACTTGGAGCCCGCTGACAGGCGCGCAGGAAGCAGGCAGTCACGACCCAGACCAAGGAGCTCGAGGCCCTCGAGGCCAGGCTCAAGGCCGCCGAAGAGCGCCTCAACCAGGCAAAGAGCAACTCGCCCCCAGCCAAGAACGACACCCAGCGCGAACAAGACGCCGCTCGGTCACAAGGGGCCGCCAGCCCCCTTGCCTCCAAGTCCCAAAACATGCCAGGTGTGCTACCAGAGACTCCGACTCCTACATCGACTACCAGTGCTGACTATGTCCTGGTAGAGAGGCCACTGTCCGCCAAGCCTGAGACGGCATAGTTCTACCTCATTCATACGATACCACGATACCCCGGCATTGCGCCCACATCCATGTACACTGCTTGATCTCTGCGGTTGAGAGACTGCATCTTGGAAAGGGGCATATACTTTATAATCGACGATGGCATTTTCACTTCTGGTTGGCGACATCTTTTGGTGCTGCATGTCTTTCTTTGGATGGGTTAGCTGCAAATGCTACATAAACTTCATCTTCTCCTTCCGTTTCCTTTGTGGTGTTCTGCTCAGTCCGGCTATACGGCACTAACTCCGTAGCTTCGAGCACAGGCCCTGTGTCTCGTTACTCCACGCGCTCGACTCACCACCTGGGCAACAACTCACCGAACAGTCAGCAGCTCAACATGGACAACGTCACAGAAGCAGCGCTCACCGAATCATTCGACAAGCTCGTCTCTGAAGGTGTCATTGTCTACGGCCCCAACGAGTCTATCAAATTCAAGCACGAAGGCTACCCGGTAAGCTAGTCCAGCAAAGGCGACAGTCACACCAGTCCTTACTCACACCTTGGCCAGATAGAGTTCCGGATCTGCCCAGCACTAGCAACCAAACCTCACACCGTAGGCGCCGCGAACCATGCTTTTGACCAATCACGAAGATATGGTCCTGGCAGCGACATGTTCTGTCCAGACGAGCGACTCAACATCACACAGCTCAACGGCACGCACGACCTAGCACTCAACCTATTCTGCGTCGACAGGCCGCAACTGCTCATGTTGACTCTGGACTCGTACAAGCGTCAGCACGAAGCTCTTGACCTAGATGACTTTGAGGTCATGCTGCAAGTGTTACGGAAGCTTCCAAACTTCTACGTCATCTTCAACTGTGGGGAGAAGGGTGGATGCAGTAGGATTCACAAGCACCTCCAGGGCTTGAGAGGGCCGCCACATGCTTTCGACCACATCATGGCTTCTCTCACCGACTCATCGAAGAAGGTGCCTTTCCAGTTCTTTGTCCATGAATTCAGTCATGGCTTCTCGAATACGCCCGCTTCGACTGTTGTTGATGTGTATAAGACATTCATTGCGCGGTGCCGCACGCTCATGGGCACATGTGAGGAGGAAACACCTCCCCATAACGTCATCATGTGGGCCGATCGTCTTGTGGTTGTTCCACGTCGCAGAGGGACCACAGAGGGAGCGAGCGCGAATGCTGGAGGCATGCTAGGAAGCGTATGGATATCGGAACAGAAGCATGTGGACGAGTGGTTGAGACTCGGCTACGCGAATGTGTTGAGAGAACTGGGTGTTCCAAGTTGTTGAGAGAACGCGGTGATGTTCGCATCACACGCATACGAGCAGGTTATTATTGGGGCGCATCCAGGCTTGTCAATCTTCATCCTCCTTCCCATCCAGGCACTCGCTTCGCTAAGGTACTCACCACCCTGCAGTATGTCGCCATGCTAATGAGCACCACGAGATCACGTACCTGGCATTGCCTAGACTTTGTATTTGGCCTATCTCGTAGCCAAGACAAGCCAGCGTAGTCTCCGAAACCCGCACCTGCCTAATGCGACAAGCTCAACACCTCCGCGCCAATCACACTCTCCTACCCACGTCGTCCGCAGAACGTGCCAAGTGATGCTGTATATTAACCCACTGTCCAGATCTTGATGTGGAGTTCCGAATTCCTTGGACTGCTAGCCTCCCGCGCTTGCATCATCTACGTTGAGCTCCTTCGAGTGTACATCTCCCGTGCTTGCAGGAGATCAGCCAGGAGTACGGGGTGAGTACCTGCCTAATCGATGCGAGACTTGAGGTAACAGGTAGGACGGTGTCCGCGGTGCTACAGACTGGATGGGAAGGTGGTTTATGGTCTTGTGTGACGGTTACACGACTTAAAAGCAGGCTCTCTCCCCAGCATCATACTGCACTGCACTGCACAACTGTCGTTGCATTCATTGCCTATCATGAAGACCACCATTCTTACCTCGGCGCTCCTTCTTTCCTCCACCGCGCTTGCCACTGTCGTCCCAAGGGCTGGCAAGAAGGTCGACTACAATGGCTTCAAGGTACTACGTGTAGCCAGCACCGATGCTGTCAAGGCAGAGATCGAGAGCTTGGCTGCACACATCCTCAACCCCGGCACGTCCGCTGAGTTGGATGTCGTTGTTTCACCAGAGAATGTCGACGCCTTGACTGCCTTGGTGGCTGAGAGCAAGGTACTGAACGAGGATGTCGGTGCAGCGCTTGCCGAGGAGGGAGAAATGAGCGTATATGCTGGTTCGTGGAGAGCCTCGTTGGTGCGACGACATCTACTGACCATATCCAGTCCCTAGCGAAAGCTGGTTCACTGCATACCACCCATACGCCGACCACATCCAGTTCCTCCGGGATCTACAGGCTGGGTACACCGGTCAGTCCGAGATTGTCACAGTCGGTACCTCTGTCCAAGGACGAGCCTTGACTGGTATCCACATCTGGGGTAGCGGCGGCAAGGGCTCCAAGCCTGCGGTCATCATTCACGGCAACGTTCACGCACGAGAGTGGATTACCTCCATGACCACCGAGTATGTCAGCTTTTGTGAGACCCTGCATTCTTGTGCTAACACCGCCCAGATACTTCGCGTGGCAACTACTTACCAAGTACGGCTCGGACGCGAACATCAAGTCTCTTGTCGACAAGTTCGACTTCTACATCACACCCATCGCCAACCCAGATGGCTTCGTCTACTCCCAGACAACCGACCGTCTCTGGCGCAAGAACAGGCAGACTGTCAGCGGCAACAGCTGTGTTGGCCGTGACATCAACCGTAGGTCTTCTTTCACTTTCACCGACTCGTAAACAACTAACATCTCTTCAAGGTAACTGGCCCTACAAGTGGGAAGTCACAGGTGGAGCATCCACAAACCCCTGCTCAGAGACCTACAAAGGCGTAGCCGCTGGCGACGCCCCCGAGCTCCGAGGTCTAAAGGCGCAAGTCGACTCGCTCAAGGCATCACGCGGTATCCGTCTCTACCTCGACGTGCAGTACGTCTCCAATCTCCCACCAACCCTCCCAAACAAACAAAAAAAAAACTAACCACACCCCAGCTCCTACGGCCAATACATCCTCTGGCCCTACGGCTACGACTGCAACCTGCGCGCCGAAAACGACGCCCAGCACCGCTCCATCGCCACCCGCGCCCAGTCCGCTATCCGCGCTGTCTCCGGTACAGCATACACCATTGGCCCCAGCTGCGCGACGCTTTATGCTACGACTGGTTCTTCGACTGATTACACTGATGTCACGGGTAATGCGACATATTCTTACACGTACGAGTTGAGGGATAAGGGCACGTATGGGTTTACGCTGCCGGCGAATCAGATAAGGCCGACTGTGTTGGAGACTTGGGCGGGGGTTGCTAGTATGCTTAGGGATGCTTAGGGTGGGGGGTGGTTTTTGCGGTTTTGGATGGCCTGATATATCGGATTTGTTTATTGCCAAATCACTATTCCTTCCACATACGACCTGGACGTGCTTTGCAACATTACGAAGTCTTGGGGCATGCCTATTGCTCCTGCCGGTAGTGGCTGGCGGTACTTGAGTCCTGCTCGGCGCGCAGCTGGTGGATGTCGGGGAGGAGCTACCCCAGTAGGTAGGCACGCTAAAAGGGTGGGCGCCTAATCGCGGGGGCGGTCGATGTCTATTCTTGTAAACACCACCTGGGCATGGGCGAGCCCGGCGAATGCTCTCTCAAATGTCAGATCGATGCAAGCGATTGCATACAGGAGTATTGTTGGTGCTCACTCTATTGGTCCGCTTTCAAAGCCGAGCTTAACAAGTCCTACATCCCAGACTACTCACTCATTCAGCAGGTACCTAGGTAACATCTGGCTGCGCTCCGAACACGGACCGCCTAAACGTCACATCTTACTTGCAGACGGCAGGAGACCACCGAGAACAACCCTCCCGGGGTCTATTGAGCATGCATCGATCCCTACTCCTCAGTCCTACTTACCTGGGTATTCTACAAATCGGTCCAAGAGTCCGGTCGTGCTCAAAACCGTCACAAGCTTCCCAAGCGCTTTCATCCTTGAGGCGCCATGGAGAATACCAGAGAAGGCTTCCATCGTGGGGTCGAGCCTCAAGCCGGAGTAGACCGCCACCACGAAATGGAAACTCAGCAATTGCTACCATTAACATCAATGGCGCATCCCGGAGCGAATAGTGACCGATCTCATCGCGCATCGATTTCCAATGTTTCTATTGCAAGCTCTGTGGAGACTTCCGGCGAGCGCAAGTATTCACATGGCTTTATTTGCACTGGACGTCCTAACACACACGCAGATCCACAATGGATGCCTTTTGCGCTACGCTGGTACTTTGTCACAATCGCTGCCGGGTTTTCTGTCACTTCCGCAGCCATCACATTCGCATTGTATCGGTACTCCCATAACAATAACGGGCTGTGTGCTGAGGATTCAGCAATGCCGGGCTGGAAGTTTATACCCACGCTGATCGCTGTCGTCTATACACAATTGACAGGAATAATCCTTGGCGCTGTCAAACTGACAGGACCTTTTGCAAGGATGGCCAAAACAAACGGACGTATTCCGGTTGCCCGTTATACTTTACTCGAAAAGGCTAAGCCATGGTGGACAACTTTCACTCGAGGCTTCCAGAGGCGAAGGAATGGCGGATCGTGGAGCTGGGTTACAATCCTCTCATGCAGCACCTATATCCTGGCCATACTTGGAATCTCACCGATGTCTGCTGCACTATTGAGAACAAAGGAGATACATCAAGCAAGTCCTGAGACGCTTGCACGACTAGAAATGCGCAACGGGTTGATGCTACAACCTCGAGCTGAGAGAGATACGTATCTGCGAACCATGGGCGCGATGTTTCAAAATTATAGCTCCTCTCCCTGGATTACTGACGACTATGTCATCTTTCCGTTCTGGCCATGGGCTTCAGTTGATAGGGACTCACCTTGGGATTATAAGGTCGAATATTCAGGAACCTGGGAGGCAAACACGACTGTTTTCCACGCCGACTTAGTTTGTGCCAAACTGAATATGAAGAAGAAAGACATGTATCTCCGGCATGCGCCCGAAGGATACGGGGAAGAGGGAGAAAAGTTTTACCAAGCATCTGTTCTCCTAGAGTCCAATCACGGCTGCCAGTTCAACCTCACTGTCGACGTGGAGTATGATGCCCTTACTACGGATTGGATTTTCTGGGGCGACATCAACAACATCACATTACGCGACTACATGAGTTCAGATCCTACCGTTCGATTCAACGAATACTGCCACGAGAGTGAGATCATGATGATGAGTACGCCGTGGTGGCCCAGGCAGAGCATCACGCCAACCGACAGATTCCTGGAAAACATGACAATGCTTGTATATGCATGTCATACAAGCCATAGCATGGCCATCATCCCAGCTCGTACCACAGCCGTATGGGATCCCACATGGGATGAAGGGACATTGTCCGTCGAGTTCGACGAGGATCTTTTTCACCAAACTCGCACGCCGCTTTCTTCGACCGTCGTTGACTTACTCGAACTACGCAAGATTTATACGGACATCAAGTGGAGCGATTTCGTTCCACAAAAGTCTAAAGCGTCAGATTCAGAAATCGATTCATATGATGTTCCCTTTGGGGGTGCAGCTGCGATCTTAGGTGTACCGTACAATTTCAGTATCCCACGGATGATGGCGGATTCTCAACTGCCTATGGTCGCTGCTCAATTTAGACGTCGTTTTTTCGCAGAAATTTTTGGTGGTTCTATGAAACGCACGAGAGTTTTAGAAATGCGTGCTACGAGTGGTCATCGACTCAAGTCTGTCCGCACAGTGCTAGTCAGCGGGCAAGCTGCGTGGATTTTATGTGTTCTGTTACTCACTTCTTGCTTCTTCTTCCTGGGAATCCTCACGGAGACGCTAGCGGCTAAGACAACTCCAAAGCTTTACCATGATCCAGGTACACTTTTGGGCACAAGTATCTGGGGCAGCGGTGATGCGATGGCGTTGCGTAGTTTCACCAAACTCGATCTCGCCACAAGAAAGACGTTAAACGAAGAGCTTGCTGGAAAAGTCTTCATTACCAAGCAGGGCAAGCTCCAAGAAGGTGAGGCTGTCATCCAGGACGGTCATAAGAGTACGTACTCACGGAATCATCGGTGTATCTACTAACATACAGCAGAAAAAACAAGAGTACCGCCCCATGACATCGCACCTGTGCTACCCGAGCTACGACTACGAAACCTAGCTCTCCTCATTTTTTACATCCTTGCTCTTCTTGCCGGAATCGTGGTGCTTTACGACTACGCGCGAAGGTCAGAGCTTCACCAGGCTTTCTTCACCTATCGCGCTAACATCAAGCTCCTCGGGCATTCAAACACAATTTCGCCTTTATCTGTCATCCCGACCTTGCTTGCTATTGTTGTCACGCTTTGGTGGGAGTCCATTGACACCACCTGTAGGACGGTACAACCTTACATTAGCATGCAACATGATGCCACGCGTCCTTCTCACGGCATCGCATTGTCGTATTTATCATCGTTCTGGCTATTCGCATCACTGAAAGCTTTAAAGCACCGACATTGGCTACTATCGCTTGTTACTACGACGACGTTCCTTCTCCAAGTCCGTAAGTGCATATCTGCAGACTAGGCTGTAACTACAACTAAAAGCTGTGATCAAGTCACAATCGCCATGTCCGCTCTTTTTGACTCGGGTAATGGCGTCTTAACGACTTTCTCGGAAATGCCTCTAGCATTGGAGCTGCGCAATGTCCCGTTCGTGCAACAAATATCGGTAAACAGGGATCAACCTACCTGGCTGTTCAACTACACTATCGACGAGAAAAGCTTTTCACGCGTACTCGGCGACATGGTGTGGGATAACATGCTGACCCTGCCTAAAGATTGGATGTACACCGCTATGATAGATTCTGCGCTAGAGGGCCCCAAACCAGCATGGAGCTCGGATGAGTGGAGTTTTATGCCTGTATATTTCGATGTGGAGGGCATCACCTCGGTTAAGAACAATAGTTCAGCGGGTAGAGGCGCCCGCTCTGTGGGGAGTGTGAGAGTCAATACGTCTGCGATAAGTGCTCGCCTGGAATGCAGTGCTGTTGAGTGGCCCAGAAACACGAGCCTGTGGCTTTTGTCGCAGGACCAAGGATATGGACGTAACATCACTGGACTAGACAACTATTTTACGATAGCACCAGCTGTTTCCGATCGCAATTCCACGACTTGGCTTTCCACTCCAGGCAGCATTCCACCGTGCTGCACCAATCTCACTGGAAATGCAACGTACAATCCAGCCGTAGTTGCTTATTGGACAGAAAATTGGCAGGAAGTCTCCAACCCTGAAGGCAGTCGCGATTATCGTCCCTCTGGAAACTTTACAGTCAAATGGATTCGAGGCCCTGGAAAGATTGAACGAATCACGAATAAGTCGGAGGTACACACATTCGTGTTCCCAGAGCCGCCCGCTATACAGGCATTGAATTGCATGCCGATATTTGAGTCGAGCCGAGCAGAAATCAGGGTCGAGCCTAGAACCGGTGTCATACAGGACTATCGCATCGATGAAGATCCTCTCCGACGAGAGGATGTCGCTTGGTCTGATACATCCCAATGGCGCAACCCTTCGGAAGACGCTCAGTATACCAACGTTAATACTAATCATGACCCTGACCTTCGAGTCAACAGCTCTGACTGGAGGGCTAGCAGTTTCAAGTCTTATGACTACAATATAAATACAACTACCAGGTGAGTCAGACTGTAAACACAACATTCATTCAATCTAATAAAGCACTGCAGTTACGGACCCTTGTTCATGCAATGGCTGTTGAAAGCCGCAAATATCGATGGGCCTCCCTCTAAGAGTCCACCCAGAGCACACGAGAACCGCCCAAGACCTAACCCTGTCTATACAGACAACAGGGCCTTCAATATGCGAGACAACACAACAGGTCTTAATCTCGATTTTATGTCGTACGCCGCTTACGCACAAATGAGATTTGATCCTACCGCCCTACTAGATCCGGAAGTCTTGGCTAGAACATCCTCAACTGTCTTCTCGACCTTCTTCCAGCACTTTGTCAACAGCAACATGTCGCGCGAATCCGGCGGTTATGTCTACCAACCTAGGGGCATGGAACTCAAGATCAACGCCCCAATGGACGATATGCCAATTCAGTACATGCCTGGTGGATCCATAGCGCCAAAGTTCGAAGACATAGTCCGCAACACCAGTGCAACAACAACAGCGGAAACAAGCACCCAGGTCGAAGTTCTCCAGATGAATCTCGTCGCGTTCTGGATCGCCGCAAGCATTCTAATCTGGCTTATCATCACCATCCTCATCCTTGGATCGGTGCAAAGAAGATACTACGGCGGCATGATGCGCAACATCGAATGCATCGCCGACGTGCTGGTTCTCATCGCTGGAAGCGAACGTTTACTTGAAGTTATCAGAGAAAAGGGCTTTGATGCTATAGTCAAGGAGGATAAGATGTTGACGCGTATGGGATGGTTTCGAGATGTTGATGGAACCATGCGATGGCGGATTGACTTGGTCGAGGAGAATCAAGTTCAGCGACAGCCCATTCGTTTAGGGCCTGGGTATGTTCCAGTGACGAATGGCAATGGGGACTGCGATGTAGATGCTGGGTCTAGTCGTAGCGTCTCCCCACCGGGCAGCAACGACGAAGGTCGTGTAGATGCTGTGTCGAACGCTGGCGTTGTCAGGTCGAGATGAAGGTGTATGACACCCCAGGCCTGGGCTGGGGTAACTCACTTCGTGGTTTCATCTCCATTGCCTTCTTCCCGGTACCATTCATCTTGTATTTTTACGGTGAGCGACTGCGAAACGCCAAGATTGTTCAGGTGGAGATTTGACTGACTTTTGCAAGCTATTGCCTGAGTACAACGGGTTACGGTATCTGGTTGATGGACGTTTGAAACGGAGGTGGATATGCCAGCTCTATATTTGTTGATACGCAGGGTTTTTGAACGTGATGATTCAATATCTGCCCTGATACAAATGCCCGTTCGTGTTGCTTCCATTCGGGAATACCGAATATCCTGAGAATTACCTGTGATAAGGCTCATGAACTCGAGCACGGCCTCCACGAGAGGGCAGACTGAAGAGGCAGTACTGTTGGGAACAATAATTTTATCGATCCGTCGCAAAAGACGAGCCTCTCACGGCTCTGTGCCACATAAATTAACCGCAGCTATCACATCCCGGGCGGGTGCATTCTGGTGTTTCGGCTGTCTATCAGTAGCCGGTTCCACATCGGCTATCCGCGCTAAGGGCACCAAGCAACTGTGATTTCCTGTTCTGCGCGTCTTAGCTGCATCAAGGCTGCACGCCAACAGGCTTAACGCGTCCCAACCAATGGCACGCTCAGACGATCGGCGGCAGCACGGGCGCACGTCTCCACCAGCACCCACGGCGCCTGTCCTCTATCACTGTCATGATGGGCCTCGTTGCCGTTTGTGCCCTGCTACTGGCGCCGCTTAGGGAAGGCGGGATGCATTTGCGGCAAGCGGCCATGATGGAGATTGGAAGGAGCGATAGCTTGGTTCGCTGGTTTGTTTGTCGAGACGCGAGAAGTTCTGCGTCTTGTTCCTCTCAGCTATTTCACTCTTGTTGTTCGCTGGTCATTGCCTTCACGCCCGTTTGCGCTTCCTTCCTGCGCTGTACAGTCGTTCGTTCGTTTCTAGTCGACGCCACTGCCGTTCACTGTGCATTTGTGGCGAGCTAGTGCGTTTGCCTGATATTTGCTTGCAGCTATCGCGACAGAATTTCTCTTGCAACCGCGCCACATCACAAGCAAACCACTTCGTCGATACACTGCAAAATGGTCCAATTGGTATCGCTCAGCCTGTTGGCGGGCTTGAGCGCTGTCGCGTCGGCTATTCCTACCATTGAAGTCAAGGGCTCCAAGTTCTTCACCAGCGAGGGCAACCAGTTCTACGTCAAGGGTATGTCCGACGATAAGACTGGATCAGGACGCACACTGACACTCACGCTCAGGTATCGCGTACCAACTCGTTCCCGACGACCCACTCATCGATGCGACGCAATGTGGTCTCGACTCTGCGCTCATGAAGACCATCGGTGCCAACTCGATCCGTGTCTACCACGTCGACCCTGACTCCGACCACACCGAATGCATGAAGACATTTGCGGATGCTGGAATCTACATCTGGGTCGATCTCGATACCTTCGATACTCAGGTCGAGCAGAACACTCCTCGCTGGGAGACCAACCAGCGTGATGCTTTCGCCAAGGTCATGGATGAATTCCACCAGTACGACAACACTGCTGGCTTCTTCATTGGCAACGAGGCCATCACGACCGCAAACGGCTCCGTCACCTCACCCTACATCAAGGCCGCCGCCCGTGACATGAAGGCCTACCGCGACGAGAAGGGTTACCGCAGCATACCAATAGGATACTCTGCTGCCGACATCGCCAGTCTCCGCCCTATGCTGCAGAACTACCTCGCTTGCGGCGACAATGCGTCTGAGCGTCTCGACTTCTTCAGTCTCAACGCCTACTCTTGGTGCGGACAGAGCTCCTACCAGCAGTCTGGCTATGATCAGCTTGAGAAGAACTCTGAGGATCTGCACATCCCTATCTTCATGTCGGAGACTGGCTGCAACACAGCAAGGCCGCGTGACTTCAAGGATCAAGAGGCGCTTTTCGGAGAGATGGCCGACGTCTGGTCTGGCAGCATTATCTACGAATGGATCGAGGAGATGAACGACTACGGTCTCATTAGCTATGGCCCCAAGGTTGACCCTGCTCAGGCACCGGATGGTTTCCCTCGCTCAGGTATGTTGTGCATCCTGCACTCCTTCCAGACACGTCAACTAACAGCACACAGGAAAACCCACCCCAGTGGAACCCGATTTCCCCAACCTCTCTGCTGTCTGGGCTACATTAAACCCAACCGGTGTAAAGGCTGCGGACTACAACCCCACCAACTCGCCTGTTGTCTGCCCCGACTTCACTACTTCGGTCTGGGAAGTCAACCCCACCTCTCCCCTGCCCACACTGGGCCAGAAGCACGACTTCAACGGTACCCCTACGTCTGGCAGCTTCAGCGCAACGGCGACTGGAGGCTCTGGCGCAGAGAAGTCCGGCTCTTCAGGAACTGGATCTGACAGTGCGGAGACATCTGCGCCACCCTCCACCGGCGCTGCGGCGGATGCTCTGGGCAAAGAGCTCAAGGGAATGGGTGCCCTGCTTGCGGGTGTTATGGCCGTCTTTACCTGGCTATGAGTGCTTTGCACGTCGCGTTTCTAGAGTATCATGACCACGTCACGCGTCTCCGACCTTGATGGATTTTGATGAAGACTTCTCGGAAGACTATGTTTAATGATTCGAGTATATATTTGGGCGAAAAGATTGTTGGTCCAGCTTTGCATGTAGGATTAGAGTAATAGAATACTAAGAGAAGCTATCTCGATGTTACACTTATACAAATCCAAGATCGTTCACCACCCATTCACAAATTACCATGAGAAACTGCAGTTATGACCTGTTTGACAAGAATGCTACCGCTAGTATCTGACCGCCCTCCATCTAGCCAGCAGAAGGGCACTTTCGAGGTGACTGCACTATTTTCCTCATCGGTTTTGTCACTGCTCGAGCACATACGGCGCTCAGACTTTGTGACAAAGCAGACCAACATGGCAACGTCGCACAATATTCCAGTCATCAACGAGATTCGAGCGCAGGACGGAGTCATAGAAGGTTTATATTCTTCGTCAGTGTAGATGTATCGCTCTACTATCAACCTCTCGATATCCTCACCAGCGCAATAGCCTAAGCACGACACTACTATGGCAGACTGGCATCAGAGCTGGATAAAATGTTGCACTCCAGCTAGCACAGGTGCGAGTCTCCATCACACGGTATAAATTCCGACTAACAAGTTTGAATAGGCTGGCTGGCATGCTGCTGTCCATGGGTGTTGTACGGCAGGATCCGGCACCAAGAAGACCATCAAGGTAACATGGACGGATACAATGGTTGGTGCAACGGAAACGTAAGTCGCGTTCCCTTTCATGGTCGATCCCATGCTGACCAAAAACGCAAAGTGTTGGCTTTGTTTCGGTCTGACCTGTTGTGCGGGTGGATGCTGCGGGTGTGCCTTGCTGCCTCTCATCGATCGCTGGAAAATTCGGAAGAAGTACGGACTGAAGACCGAAGGGTGGTGTGGGACGAAGAAGCTATGCGAGCCTCTCTTATGCGCTGGGTGCTGCTGCCCCTGCAACCTGGTACAACAAGACCGAGAAATTGAGCATCGACATCCAGTGAAGACGGCGGAAGTGGTATTGCAGCCGGCGCCGGTCGAAGCGATGGTTTACTCAACGTCGGAGTCACCTTTGGCGCGAGAACCACATGGACCCTCAGCTCCCCTAGAGGGAGCACGGGAGGCTTCCAGAAATGACGTGGAGGTCCGTCCGGGCATAGCGACCTGATCTTCCAGCTGTCACGACTAAGAACAAGCGTGCCATGCATGCGATGGAACAGGAAGATGGGCTATCATGCAGATAGATGGCAGAACCATAATGATAATCTGTTCACTCCTCCTCACTCTCTTCACTGCTGTCCCCACCCATCAAACCTCTTCTCATAAGCTCCTCAAGATCGTCCTCATCGTCGTCGGCTGCTGCCGCTTCACCAGCCATGCTAGACTTGCGATCATGGCTCCCCGTCTCCTGTCGCGCAGGTGGACCAATATCCATAGGTTCGATGTCTCTATTGTAATCGTCCTCATCATCATCCTCGCCTTCTGCATCGTCGCCGCCCAGATCACCAAAGTCGATCTCGTCTTGAGCGTTGCGATTGCGGCGGGGGTTCGGCGAGCCTTCGCCATCGCTGTTAGCGGCGCTCGCGAGCGATATCGGGCCGTTGGAGGGGGAGCGGAGGTAACCTGCATTGAGATTTGAGCCGAGAGATGCCATTGCGCCCTTGTTGTGTCGTGGTGGGCGTGCGTCGGGCACTTCGATCTCGAGGCCACCGTCATCGTCTGACTCGCCCTCTGCGTCGTCGTCGTCGTCGTCGGACTCGTGGTGTTGCTGATGTTGTTGGTGAGGAGGCGATGGATGTGCTGGCGAGGAAGCTGCTTCGCCGTCGGATTCGTCAGACGAGTGTATGACCTCGGAGGATTTGATTCTCGACGCTGGCGGTGCTGCGGGCTTGGCTTTGGGCTTTGGTGTTGTGTCGGTTGCGGTGCGCTGGAGGCGGACGGCTGGTGTGGCTTGCGTCTTCTTGGGCTTTACCATGGGGTTCGTGGCCGCTGTCTTGCGCTTCTTGGGCGCTGGTATAGCGGCAGCCTTCCGCGCTGGAGCAGCAGTCGCAGAGGCGCGGGCCCCGAACTGAGGTGTATTGACGGCGCTGCCTGTGCCTGTGCGGTAGTCTGGCGAAGACGCGTATTTGTATTCGGACTCGTCGCCCCGTTTCTCCTTCTCCTTGCTCAAGAAGTGTCGGAAGTCGTAGGGGTTGTCTGCATCAGGGTCCCCTCCCTCGTCGTCAGCCGCCGCCTCGCCGAAGAGATCCTCTTCGCCATCTTTGCTCTCTGCGTCACCCTTGAGTTTCTTGGGATATATCTTGGCGTGTTGTGACGAGACGTCCTTGCCGTTCTTGGTCGCGAGGTTGAAGGTGTAGCTGCTGGACAGCGGCTCGAGCGTGGCCTGCTGGCTGGCGGGATCGAATACGAGGACGTATGACTTCTT